TGCTTTGTTGCAATCCCTCCTTTGTTTTGATCACTAACACCTCTTTAACCCACCATCCCTTGTCCCCAACCCATTTTCTCCTTTGTTTACCTGGCCCTACCTTCCACCTCTCTGTTAGCCCTTAAAAGCCTCTCCCTCCCAACATGCTGCAGTTCTGACGAAGGGTCATGGAGCCAAAAGTTTAACACTGCTTATCCAGCTAGGACCATTAGGGATTTGGCTTTCAGGGTTAACAGGACCTGAGTGGAAGTAGTCCCTGATCTTCCAGGTCTTGCCGATCAGCAGGGCTTTGGAGTACTGTGGACCCGCCTGGCTCAAGAACTGAACTAGAGATTGCCACAGAGGGTGAGCTTGATTGCTAAAATGTCACATTGGAGTCAGTTCAGCTCCAAGAAGACACAATTTACCTCTGTAAGGAGGAAAGTCATTGTTGGTCATTTGACATCTAACAAGCGTGGCTTTGAGTATTCACTAGGTGGATGGCATTTACCAGGAACTTCTTGGTGGACAACACAGCTCATCAAGAAATGTGTGAGAGCATTGCCACCATCTTTCTGACTGCAGCTAGGCCAGCCCATAAGAGAGGACTGTTTGCGCACAGGTTTTATGTGCCACGATCTTCACCTGCATTGGGATCTTATTGTTCCTGAAGAGAGACAAATGCAACCAGAGTGCACTTCACTGCACAATCCTTCAGGTCCTGAAGGACAGTGTCAATGTCACACCACAACCCCTAATATTGATAAGTATCAACTATTGAGACCAATGCCCCTTGTATCTTCCAATCAATATCCTTGAGCCATGCAGAATCATGATTCCACACTCGGGGGCAACCAAGTTGGCCCAGTGTTCAAAATGGCAGGTGCCATGCAAAATATCCCCACGTGAGTCAGCAGTACAATATCATCTGCGAACAGACGTACTATTATCCTGTCAGAAAGCCCTGTAAACCAAGGCTGTCTTCCTCAATGTCATACAACAAGTCGTTGATGAACACATTGAACAGGGTGGGTGGTAATGGGCAGCCTTATCCCCTTTTAAGAGGAATTGTCTCAGTGGCAAAAGGTTTTTCATTGATGTTGTATGTAATTGGAGAATGGAACTCCGTCACTCTTACATGGATCTTGGAGCTGGAATACACATTGTGGATGGAACCCAAGATTTGGCCATGACACCTAGTTTTACATGAGAGCTTCATAAGGCACTAGACCAAAGGGCCTTGCAGACGTCAATAATAATAATAATAATCCTTGCATTTGATATAGCACTTTTCATGTCTTCTAGACGTCTCAAAGTGCTTCACAGAATATGCTATAAAGTGAATTGATTGTACATTTGTGGTCGAAACGCGGCGTCAATTGTGCACAGCAGCGTCCCACAAACAGTTGTGGATTGAAAATAACCAATTTATTATTGTTTTGTTTTTGGAAGGATTATTATTAGGCGTGTGAGGTAAGGAAACTTGCCCAAGGTTTCAGGAGAACAGAAACCAGCCTGCTTCTTCCTGATCAAACCATGAGCCTCCAATGTATGCAATAAAAATGCAGTGACTATCTAAAGTGTCACTTCAAGATCCACTGAATTCAGGGAAATTCCTCTTCAGTTCTTGATCTCACTAGGGTCACCCTTCTTGTGGATAGAAATCATGATCATACTTTGGAACACTGACAGAATGCGTGCCTCAAAGAGAGTCCCGTTGACTAGTGCTAGGAGGGCAGCTCTGAGGTGAGTTAGAGGTTCCTGTCTTAGATCTGTAAGATCCTCACCATTCTACAATCCTCCCCCTCCTCCGAGCAGCTTTTAGGAACTCAGCATTAATGCCATTTGCACCTGCTGCCTTGACATTAGCAAGGCTCCGTAGTGTCGAGGCCACTTCTTCCCAACCGACTGGGTGGTTAAGGCCTTCAATCTTTCCATGCCTCTCACAAACTCTTCCATCCTCTACGCAGACGGATCTCTGCTACAGCCTGTTGGGTCAGATGGCAATTGTACATAATGCTCTCTCTAGACCCCAAGGATACCTTGTGGGTCAGTTGTAGAACACCGGGCTTGTCCAACATTGGCACAAGCCCAATTTCCCCTCCAGCCATGACTGACGACAGAATTCAGGCAGCAGAAGAAAGGTATGGGATCATTTTCGCCCACAAGTATATGGTCAATTCACTTTACAGTCTATTCTGTGAAGCGCTTTGAGATGTCGAGAAGACGTGAAAAGCACTGTATCAAATGCAAGGATTATTATTGTTATAGAGTTGCGCCTCCATTTGACCCATTCTGGAGTCCTGTAGTTTAGTGGTTAGAGCACTCGCCTTGCAAGCAAGAGGACCTGGGTTTAATTCCTGGGAAGAGTGAAACATTAGGCAGATTTCCTTACTCTGTATGCCTTTGTTTACTTAGTAATAAGTAGGAACCCAGTTGTTAGTTGATTGGCGGAACGCTTTTCCGAGGATAATAATCCCTTTTTTAAAAAAATTGGGTCACTCAATCCATGACTGTTTGTAGGACACTGCTACCGTATTTCGTCCAAAAAATTTACAGTTAATTCATTTTACAGTATATTCTATGAAGCACTTTGAGACATCTCAAAGATGTGATGAGGCGCAATGCAAATGCAAGTATTATTATTATTGATCTCAGTTTTGGAGAATATTAGAAAAATGAGAACTAAAACTTACAACTTAGTTGTAAGTTTCCTTTGCTGCAGTTCTACCTTGCCCCTAGGAAGCTTTCAAAACCACTTTAAAGGCCCTTTACTTTCACCTTTCCCTTTATGGTAGTTTGACAGTGTCCTTCTTCAGGGATGAGTGCCTTGCAGGTTGCAGCTTTGTTTCCCTACAATCTCAGCTGTAGAAGCAATAAAGTCCTTGCCTACATCATCAATCATTGAGCTCATGCTATCAGCCCTCAGACAGAATCAGTCTAAGACTTCCTGGTCAGCAATAGCCCTCATCACCTTGATGATCACTCATTTCCAAAAGAAATACCGACGGCTCCAGCCTGACAGTCACCATGTGTCATAGTGTCAGCACCCACCCTAAAAGTTCAAATGCTGCCCTCTTGACACTGAAAGTGACCGGTCAGTCGTCAGAGGTTTCCCAACTGATGTCAATCAACAAAATTGAAGAATGCAACAACAATAGATCATATAGTGGTAAGTGTTTTGGCACATCTTATGCTCTCTCTCAACAACAGGTTGAATTTAGACACTATCATGAAACAAAAACAACAACATTGCATTTGTAAAGCACCTATCATGTCGGGAGGACGTCCCAAAATGCTGAACAATCGAAAATCAGGACCCGAGTGTGAGTGTCGGTAGGGTTGGGATGAGGGAGGGCAGAGCAGTAGGAGGGCATGGTCGGCAAGGAGGGTCTTGAGTCGTGCCTTAAAGGAGGCAAGGGAGGGAGCAAGGCGAAGCGGGGTGGGATGGAGGTCCAAAGGTGGGGGCAGAGAGGCTGAAAGCCCAGCCGTCAACTGTAGGGCGGGTTGGGCGGGAGACATGGAGCAGTTTGGAGCCTGCTGAGTGGAGGGAGCGGACAAGTTGACAGGTGGTCAGCAGGTCAGAGAGATACAGGGAGCAAGGCCGTGGAGGCCTTGAAAGTGAGGACGAGGATTTTGAATTCTATCCTCTGGGGGATGGGGAGCCAATGGAGCTGGCCGAGGGTGGGCATGATTGGTTCACGGAGCCTGGTGCGGGAGAGAACATGAGCTGCAGTGTTCTGGATGATCTGCAGGTTGTGGAGGGAAGAGTTGGAGAGGCCGAGGGAGTTTCCGTAGTCGAGCCTAGAGGTGACAAATGCATGTGTGAGGGTTTCGGCAGCCTGAAGGGTGAGACAGTGGTGGAGTAGGGCAATGTTGCGGAGGTGGGAGAAGTCAAAGTGGGTCATGATACAGATATGCGGGAGAAAGGACAGTTGAAGGTCGAACAAGATGCCTAGGTTCCTGACTGGTTTGGTGAGGTGGAGTGTGCATCCGTGGATGCTGATGCTTCCAGTGCCTCTTTAAACAGTGAAAAGGCTTCTCAATGAACGTCAGCACAAGTCTTACCGAAAGCAAACCTCTCTTCACCCACTCACTGATCCATGTGGACCATTCATGGCTTTGGGGTCAGCCTGGCTCAATGATAGCGCTCTCACCTCTGAATCAGAAGGTTGTGGGTTCAAGCCCCATTTCGGATCTTGAAATCACAGTCTAAGTTGAGAGTTCAATACAGTGGTGGGGGTGTGGGGGGGTGCAATGTTGAGGTGAGACATTAAACTGAGGTCTAAGGTGGATGTTAAAGGTACCCTAACCCTAACTGGCACAATTCAAAAAGAGATGGGAGTTTCTCCCGGTGTCCTGGCCAACAATCTCCAAAATAAAAATTGGTCATTTGTTTCATGACTGTTTGCAGGACACTGCTGTGTGCAAATTGGCTGCTGCGTTCACTGACAAAACACACAGTTCACTTTACAGTATATCTTGTGAAGCACTTTGAGATGATGTTATATCAAATGCAAGGAATGTTATTCTGTGTAAACTGATCCTTCCACTGAGTGATCACAATGGGGGCGGGGCTAGGAGTGATTGACGGGCGGGGCTGTGAGTGATTGACGGGCGGGGGCGGGGCTGTGAGTGATTGACGGGCGGGGCTGTGAGTGATTGACGGGCGGGGGCGGGGCTGTGAGTGATTGACGGGCGGGGGGGCGGGGCTGTGAGTGATTGACGGGCGGGGCGCGGGGCTGTGAGTGATTGACGGGCGGGGGGCGGGGCTGTGAGTGATTGACGGGCTGGCGGGCGGGGCTGTGAGTGATTGACGGGCTGGTGGGCGGGGCTGTGAGTGATTGACGGGCGGGGGGCGGGGCTGTGAGTGATTGACGGGCGGGGCGGGCGGGGCTGTGAGTGATTGACGGGCTGGCGGGCGGGGCTGTGAGTGATTGACGGGCGGGGGGCGGGGCTGTGAGTGATTGACGGGCGGGGCGGGCGGGGTTCCCTCCCTCGCTCCCTCCCTCCCTCCCTCGCTCCCTCCTGTCCGCCGTGTGTCTCCGAGTCTCTCTCTGTCTCTGCCTCTCGGGAGTCGCTATGGACAGCCGCAACGGCGATTTCAACATCCTGCTGGCGACCGACTCCTATAAGGTGAGGCCGGGCCCGAGCCCGCGGTCTGTGACAGCTGAGGCCGGGGTTGGGCCTAGTGCTGGCGGAGGGAGGCCCGCGGTCTGCACACTGATGTCCTTTGTTGCCCAGACTGACAGCCCCATAAACATCCCGAGACACCAGTGTGTGCGTTCGCAGCCTATTGTCCAGTGTATATGTGTTAGCACTATCCATTAGGCCCATGTTACAGTCGTTATTGTTCTCAAGGTTTCTTGTTAACAGGAATGACTGGAGGGAAACGAAAGTGAAACCTCCAATTACTGCCTATGATTTGTGCCGAGTTACAAATTAAGTCTTACCTTTCACTGAACCGTATCCCCCCCTCAAAAAAACAATTCCAATTCCCAGGTTTGATGGTCTGCTTTTATTCTTCAACTGAAAGCAGAATTGTTGTGAAACAAAAACAAGAGAGCTGAGAAAACTCAGCAGGTCAGGCAGAATCTATGGAGAAAGGAAAGTGAGTCAACCTTTCGGGTCCATGACCCTTGGTCAGAATTGTTGTGTTGAATTATTGTTTTGCGTAGCTTGTAATAAAGTGAATATTACATGGATTACAGAATTATACAGTAGTGCACCAGTAATACCAAAAGTCTGAGATGTCAGTTACTGGAAATGAAAGTTAAACACCCACCAGATTAGGAAATTCATAATTTGTGCAAAATTAGCTGACTCAGGTTGAGAGCTAATTTTGCATGGATTGGGTGTTATTAGCTGAAGAACAGAACACTTTTCTCTCTTCACACAGTATTAACATCAGATATACCATTGCCAGGAGAGCCTTCAGCCACTCTGCCCCCAATCTCTGGAATTCCATTCCCCAATCACTCCACCTCGCCCCCTCGTTAGCCTCCTTCAAGTCCCACCTCAAGACCCTCCTCTTCAACCATGCCATTGGCCACCTCCCCTCCCTTCTCCTTCCCTGACCCCAGCTCGAGTCTGAAATGGTGTACACTGTCCAGCACCTTGGGACGTCCTCCCGATGCAAAAGGTGCTGTACAAATGTAATCTTGTTGTTGTGGTACAATTGGTGGCCCGAATTCTGGTATCTGGCCCGCCAGATGATTTCATCCAGCCCAGGACCATTTCCAACTTCAGGCTGCCCGCTCCTTCTCTCCCCGGCAAACCATCCTCTTGTGGCAGCAGTAGGAGCCTGCAACAGAGAGGACCCAACGCGGGGAGCGGGATTAATACTGGTCATTGCTGCAATCGGTCAGGAAAGCCCCCCCGAGCTGAGGGGATGGCAAGGTCTCCTTAACAGGATAGTACCAGGAATGAGGGACCTCAGTTATCAGGAGAGACGAGAGAAGCTGGGATTATTCTCCTTGGACAGAGAAGGTTAAGAGGAGACTTAATAGAAGTTTTCAAAATTATGAGGGGATTCGATATGGTGAACAATGAGAAACTATTTCCACTGGCGGGTGGGTCGGTAACCCAAGGACACCAATTTAAAATAATTGTTAAAAAAAACAGGGGAGGTGAGAAGAATGTTTTTACAGAGCGAGATGTTTGAATCTGGAATGCATTGCCTGAAAGAGTGGTGGAAGCCAATTCAATAACAGCTTTTAAGAGAAATAGATAATTATTTGGGAAGGACAAGTTTGCAGGGCTATGGGGAGAGTGCAGAGGAGTGGGATTGAACTGGATAGCCCTTTTCAAAGAGCTGGCACTGACGCAATGGGCCAAATGGCCTCCTGTGCTGTATAATTCTATACTGCTATGATTCTTACCAACCATGTTCCTCCCAACCTCCAGCTCCTGTCGCTGCCAGGAGAGGTCGGTTTGCCAGGGAGGGAGAGGGTGCCCGGAAGTTGGAAATAGTCTCAAGCCAGATGAAATCATTGTGATTGACACAGAGAGAGTGATTGAGAGAGTGTGTGTGTGAGGGAGAGGGGAATTAGAGAGAATAATTGAGAGAGGGAGAGCAGGTGTGTGATGGGGGGAAGAGACTGATTGAAAGAGGAGGAGAGAGAGTGTGAGAAGGCCGAGGGAGAGTATGTGGCAGAGAGGGATTGAGAGAAAGTGCATGAGATGAGAGATTGAGAGAGACAGAGAATGACTGACAGAGAGAAAGCATGAGGGAGAGAGAGAAACAAAGAGTGAGAGAGAGCAGAGAGAGAGAAGTGACGGCAGAGTTTCATGGTTCACTGACAAATGGAGCCTTCCTTGACTGCCGCTGTGGGGACCAAGGACAGACACCGAGTGACGTGACATGCAGTTTCCTCACAGAAAGCACCCTCTTCCCCGGTTAGAAACTCCTCTATGTCCTTCATCCCCTCCTCTCCCCCACCCTACCTCTGTGACCTCCCAACCTAACCGCTTCCTGTGCCTGGCAAACACCGGCTTGCTTCATGTCCCGTCCCCCCACCTGTTCTGCCCCACCATCACCATTTTGCCTTCTCTCTCTGGAGTCATCCCGCTCAGCTCCTGTTAACTCTGCAAGCCTAATGGGTAGCCTGGTCACAGCTAGACAAGCAGAGGGAAAGCTGGCCAGACGGCAATAGTAATAATCCCTTCAGAAAAAAAATAATGGTTTTGTGACGGCTGCAGTGTTTCGCCCCAAAAAGTACAAAGTCAATTCACTTTACAGTATATCCTGTGAAGCGCTTTGAGACGTCTCAATGACATGATGAGACGCTATATCAAATGCAAGGATTATATTTTTATCATAAGAAGCTTCCACTGCATTGCTGAAGGTGACATCCTTTGAATTAGATATATAAAACTGAATCCTACTCAGTCCGAGACAGTTTGCATGTGAAACTTATCACCATGCTTAGGAGTATCCAAACCAGACGGAGCGTTCCATGTATGCCACGTATACATAGAAGTTTAACCACATGTTATATGCACATTTCCCTTGAGGGATGCACTCTGCTTACCTAATCCCAGATAGTTGGATGCAGTTTGGTGAGAACCAAGCTTGGGGACACCAGAGTGTGCTTTGGGGTAACTTTAACCATCTAAAACTGCATAGCTTGCCATTGAGATTCCAGCTGCTTGTCCAGTTAGAACTATCCTACCTGTTAGAGCTCAGTGTGAACAGGAGCTGAGCGTGAAGAATCCCTGCCCTTACTCTTCCCTCCGAGTCTTGCCGATGAGCCAAAGTGGATTCAATTCTGACATTCCATTACTAAGCATGTCACCTTGAAGTAAGCTCTACTTCAAGGAGAACCTGCTTACCCCCACCAATGACCTTCCAGGTCCTGCGATGAGCAAGGCTGGCTGTGCTGTCATCAGCAGTGCCCTGCAATACTGCGGACCCACTTGGCTCAGGATCCAGTCAACTGAGACCACCACAGAGCTGGCTCAATTCCGACATTCTGTTGCCAAGCATGTTCACTTGAAGCCAATTCAGCTCCCAAGGAGACCCTGCTTACTATCCCCCCGAAGGAGGTATGTAGTCACTGTGAAGTGCTTTGAGATGCTTAAAACGTTGTAGGTGCTGCATCAAATGATAAGATTATTATTTCTCCTTTCTCCTTTTGGAAAGGTGACACATTATAAGCAATACCCACCCAACACAACCAAGGTATATTCCTACTTTGAATGTCGTGAAAAGAGACCAGAAGAAATGAAAAACAAGAAGGTGAAATATGACGAGACTGTCTTCTATGGTTTACAGTACATTCTGAAGAAATATTTAGCAGGTTTGTCCATCTTTCATGAAGTCTTTTGAAAGGTTTTGATTGCCTTTTGTATTTAAGAGTACCTTAGTGTTACAGCGCAAAAACAGGCTGTTTGGCCCATCTAGTGTATGCTAGTGTTTATCTCAACACAAGACGCTTAATCTAATTCCACTCTCCCTACTCATTTCCATATAATAATGGATTTCTTTTGGGAGTTCCAGACTTGTTCTGAGACGCTATCCCGAAGGGTGCTATATAAACGTAAGTTGGTGTTGTACCTCGTAGCTATGGCAAGATGCAGTTAAATGTTAGGCGCACTAAATTTTGCCCAGAATTCAAGACATGAGAATTGGCTTGTTGCTCTGAAATAAATGTCCTTCCTCCAACAGGCACGGTTGTGACCCGGGAAAAGATACAAGAAGCCAAAGAGGTTTATAAGGAGCATTTTCAATATGACGTGTTCAACGAGAGTGGCTGGAATTACATTCTGGAGGTAGGCATCCATTTAATTTGTTGAAGAATTTGAAATGTTCAGGAGTTTTCTAGGTGCTTGTGCCTGGACTTTCAAGAATAACATAAGAACATTCAGCTCCTCGAGCCTGCTCCACTATTCTACAGGGTGACCGAAATGTCTTATTTTTAAGATACCCTGTTATCTGAAAAAAATCATAATTTCTTTAAGATTGATTAGACATTGTAATGGTATCACGACTTTTTGGTTATCATGGATCCAACTTCTCCCTACACAAGCTGCAGACGATCTAGAACTCTGTAGTCCTCTCCCATACCAGACTCTGCGCAAGTCTTATCATTCAGCAGAATTTTGCTATTTGCCAAATCCAGGATCAAACAGTGTGGTGAATTTGTGACAAACATGGAAAGCAGCTCCAGGGAGGGAGGCTCTGACCTACACTGATCTGTCGCTGAGCACCTCGGAGGCGGCTTTACAGCGAGCACGTCTATTTGCCAAAGCCCCTCAGCTGAGGCCCTGGATTAAGAAGCTGGTGCTGAGTAAGCCTGGTACAGCATTGCACTTAGATCTCAAGAACATCAAGATGGCTGGCACGTTGCAAGCTGTCCTGTAAAGATCCTCCCACAGCCTGAAATCCAATGTCCATCAGATAGCTGATGTGAAATATCTGAGGCTTGGGGTGACAGCTGCTGGAAGGCATTACCTGGCATTTGAGTTTGTGAGCTCACATTCATCCATCCAGTGCATGGAATCCACCTTGATTGGTTTGGGGAGAAGTGAGCAGCTGTTGCTCCAACTGGTGGAACCATTGCTCAATGGGAAGGGATGTGTGTCCGAGCTGGGCATGAAATGTTACTCATGCACTTCATGCTGAGCTATGCTGTCCACCAGGAAACTCACTGCTATGCATAGTGAGATTATTGGATGTCAAATGATTATCGGATGATTCTCGGATATCAAATGAACTATCCTCTTTAGGGGATAACATAAATCAAGAAATATTCAATGAAGAAAATTTATTTTGCTGGCCAACCAAAAAGATTAGCCACCGCTGGTTTAGACTGTGAGCTCAATGTTCCAACATGGGGTCTGAACCCACAACCTTTTGACCCAGAGGCAAGTGCTATTGTTCAGTGCTCTGGGTCTTCAACCCCTTGTGAAGAGCTCTATGTAAATGCATTGTCGTTATTGCTACTAGTTGATCAAGACTCTTGTAAAGTTGCTCTTCTTCGTTTTTGATTCCCTGACGTGCCTTGGTCTCGGAAGTCGAGTTCCTGAGCCAGGCAAGTACAGCACTCCAGGACACTGTTGATGACAGACCAGCCAGCCTGCCTCATTGGCAGGACTTGGTAGAGCTGACCAGTCACTGGGGGTAGTTTTCCTATTTTTCCCTCTTTCATGCTCTTTTCAATTGCTATAATTGTAAATCAATGTCCTTAAATCATCTTCAGCAGAATTGATTTCTCACCATTTATCCTTTCATTATCTTGAGTATCTCCGTTACATTAACCCTGCTCGGATGGGACTGATATAAGGAGTTTCTCATTGTAAACAAATTACATTTGCATCGGCTTTTCACTTTGAGAGGACGTCCCACAAGGTGCTGGACAGTCAAGGATATATACCCGACTGGGGTTCGGATCAGGAGTAATGAAGGGCAGGGAGGGTGAGAGTAGGAGGTTGACTGAACTCGCGATTGAAGAAGGGGGTCTTGAGACGTGCCTTGAAGGAGGCGAGGGGATGGTGTTCCAAATAGTGGGGCTGAAAGGCTGAAGGCCTGACTGCTGATGGTGGGGCAGGCAGTGCGGTGGATGTGGAGCTGCCAGGAGACCGTTAAGCGGAGGGAGTGGACAGGTCAGTATGGAGTTAGCAGGTCACAGGTAGAGAGGAAGAAAGGCCGTGGACGAAGATTTTGAACTTAATCCAGTAGATCCAGGCAACGATAATAATAATAATAAATAATAATCCTTGCATTTGATATAGTGGTTTTCACGTCTTCTAGACGTCTTAAAGCGCTTCACAGAATATACAGTAAAGTGAATTGACTATATTTGTGGGCGAAACATGGCAGCCAATTGCTGCAACATAGTCGTGGATTTAAGTGACCAATTTTTTTATTATTGTGATGGGGGTAATAGGTTCACAGAGCTTGGTGCAGAAAAGAACACGAGCTGCAGAGGTCTGAATAATCTGCAGCTTGTGGAGGGAAGAGTTGGGAAGACAGAGGACCATGGGAGTTAGCATAATTGAGCCTGGATATGATGAATGGTGGATGAAGGTCTCGGGGTGGGTGGGGGGGCTGAACAGAGAGGCATTGGCGGAACTGGGCAATGTTGCAGAAATGGGGGAAGGAGGAACAGGTCATGGTACACATGTGGGGTATAAAGGACAGTTGAGGGTCGAACAAGTCGCCAAGATTCTGGACTGGCTCAGTGAGGTGGAGTGTGCATCCATGAATGGTGATGTTGTCAGTGCCCAAGATGTGGAGGCCCTGATGGGAGCCAAACAGGAGGACCTTGATCTTGTTGACATTCAACTAGAGAAGGTAAGCTCTCATCCAGGGCTTGATGTCTGACAGACAATCCATCAGGATAGCAGTGGTCCTGGAATCAAAGGTGGAGGCAGAGAGATAAGAGTTGTATGGCATCCACTTGACATGTGTAAGTTAACCCCATGTCTGCGGATGATGTCACCAAGGGGGAGCATGTAGATATTGAACAGGACAGGACCAAGGATAGAGCCCTGAGGAATGCCATATGTGACAGTGCAATGCCTAGAGGAGAAGCCATGGACACAATGGGATTCTGTCGGGACGGGATCAAATAGGTCCAAGGGTTTTCTTCATCTTTTGCAAAGGGCGCAATCTTAAAAATCATGCCAAAGAAGGTTACAGCTGAGGTTCGAAAGCATTTCCTCACACAGAGGATGTGGAATGCTTTGCCCCAGAAAGCTGTAGAGACTGAATCAATAGGAATATTTAAACAAGAGACTGGGGGAGTAGTGATATTAAGGAGTGTGGGAAAAGGGCAGGGTTTTGGGAATGAGCTGCCAAGATCTAATAAACTGGAGTTTATTTTGAGTTCTGACGAAGGGTCGTGGACCCGAAACATTGACTCACTTTCCTTTCTCCATAGATGCTGCCTGATCTGTTGAGTTTTCCCAGCTCTCTCTGTTTTTGTTTCTAATAAACTGGAATAGGTTGATGGTCTGAATGTCCTCCTCCTGTTGCTGCATTCCTGTTGTGGAACCTCTCTTATGAATGTGAATTATTTGAGTGGTTAAATGTTTTCTTCTTGGCAGAAGCATGAGGGTTACCTCCCAGTAGAAATAAAGGCGGTTCCCGAGGGCAGTGTGATTCCCCGGGGGAACGTCCTCTTCACTGTTGAAAATACTGACCCAGAATGCTACTGGCTGACAAACTGGGTGGAGGTAGGTCTAATTTCTCTAACCTAGTCCAGTCTTTTCAGTAATTTCTTCAGATTTATGTAGTTGTTATTTGGGGGGACATAAAAGAGGTGTTTTTGAGGCTAAGCTGGCTCCAAGGTGACATATTTGGCAACAAAATGTCAGATTTGTTCAACCATTTTGTGGTGGACTCTAGTCCAGTTCCTGAGCCAGTCAGATCGCAGTACTCCAGGGAACTGCTGATGTCAGCCCACTGATCCACAGGACAACAACAACAACAAGATTGCATTTATAGAGCGCCTTTCACGTCGGGAGGACGTCCCAAGGCGCTGGACAGTTGGGGCGGGACCCGAGCAGGGGGGAAATGGTCAGGGTGAGGGAGGGAAGGGAGGGAGCGAGGAAGGGGTAGAAAGTCGAGAGGGGAGGTAAAGGCACGGTTGAAGAGAAAGGTCTTGAGACCGGCCTTCAAGGAGGAAAGGGAGGAAGCAAGGCGAAGGCACTGGGGGATAGAGTTCCAGAGCCTCGGGGCTGTGAGGCTGAAAGCCCGGCCACTGATGGTAGGGCGGTTAGGGCGGGGGATGTGAAGCAGACCGGAGCCAGAGGAACGGAGGGTACAGGCAGGTAAGTAGGCGGATAGTAGGTTGGAGAGGTAGGAGGGAGCGAGGCCGTGAATGGACTTGTAGGTGAGGATGAGGATCTTGAATTCGATCCTCTGGGGGATGGGGAGCCAGTGGAGGCGAGTGAGGGTGGGAGTGATGTGGTCCCGAGGCCTGGTGCAGGACAGTACACGAGCTGCAGAGTTCTGAATGACCTGCAGCTTGTGGATGGAGGTGCCGGGAAGGCCGACGAGGAGAGAGTTCCCGTAGTCCAGCCTTGAGGTGATAAAAGTGATAAAGGACCACAGAATCCTCTCACTCAGCTCCTGTTAATTCTGCAAGCCAAAGCTCTTACAGTGGTCCTAGCTGGAGAAGCAGCGCAAAGTTTCCAGACAGTGCTTTCAATGGTAAGCTTTACAGTTTTAGCTGGTTGAACTCCAGCAGTTACTCCAATGTATGTTCTGGGATCCCCAAGCCTTGGTTCTCTCCAACCTGCATCTAATACTCTCCAAAATTGGGTGAACAGGCAGCTTCCTCAGGGAGAGAATGCACATTCCATTCCAGATAAATTCCCACACAAATGCTGAACTCTTGACACCTGTGTCAGTGAAACAAAAGCAATGCTTACTTTGCAGAAACCTCCCACCCCTTCCATGTCTATGGTTCAATTAAAGATCTCCCAGAGGGTTCAGACATTGCATGTTTTTTCATTGCTCCTCCTCATTTTTCACTTCCAGACATGCCTTGTTCAAACTTGGTATCCAATCTCTGTGGCCACCAATTCCAGAGAGCAGAAGAAGATTCTAGCCAGATACTTGCTGAAGACCTCCGGCACTTTGGAAGGACTGGAGTACAAGCTTCATGACTTTGGCTACAGAGGCGTTTCATCACAAGAGGTACACATTTCTGGAACAAGTTATGGAGTAGAGTTTAAAAAAAACACAGTGGTAAAACCAGGAAGAGGAGCAACTTTATTAGACTCTTGATTAATTGGTAGCATTAACAACAATTTGCAATTATATGGAACCCTTCCATGGGCTTGAGTCTCGGAGCACTGAGCAGTTGTCTCTGGATCAGAAGGTCATGGGTTCAGGCCTCAAGTCAGATCACAATCTGAGCTGACAGTGTAATGTGGGGGGATACTGTATTTTTGGAGGTGCTGTCTTTTGGATGAGACGTTAAACTGAGGTCCTGCCTGCCTGTTCAGGTGGACATTAAAGATCTCATGGGGCTATTAAAAAAGAGAAGAGAGTTTCTCCAGTTGTTCTGGACAATAGTCCACCAGATAAAATTGGTTATTCACTTGAAGGCTGTTTGTGAGATGTTGCTGTGCCCAAATCAGCTGCCCCATTTGCCTACAAATACACACTTTACACTAAATTCCGTGAAGCACTGTGAGATGTCTTGACGTTCTCATAAGGCGCTATATCAAATGCAAGGATTATTATTATTATCTGAAGGCATCACCTCCAACAATGCAGCACACCCCAGCCTAGACTATGAGTTTAAAGTCCCGACATGGGGCTTGAACCCACAACCTTTTGATTCAGGTGAGAGTGAACCTGGTACAGAACTGTATAGAACAGATCATACAATCCAATACAATTTACAATTATAGCACATTTCACCTTGGGAGGATATCTCAAAGTTCATTACACTGATGGCTGGATACCTGAGCTAGGTGGGTGGCAGCTGAAGAGGGTGAGGAAAGGGGAAAGATGACCAAAATTGCAGCCAAAGAATGCGTCATTTTTTTTGAATGTAGGGAGGGAGTCAAAGAGATTCTTAAGATGAAGCTGTAGATAGGATAATGGCCATCTGCGTGAGGCAGGTAGGGCAGGGGATCTTGTGGCAAACACGAATCTGTACCAACAATGTCTACACAGAAACAATTCTCTTTCAGACTGCAGGAATAGGAGCTTCTTCTCACCTGGTCAACTTCAAAGGAACGGATACGGTTGCAGGAATCACTGTAATAAAGAAATATTATGGAACCAAAGACCCAGTGCCAGGATTTTCGGTTCCAGCAACAGAGCACAGGTATCGCCTTTGAGATCAACAAGTTATTCAATCGTCAGGGCCTTGTTTTCCAGGTCTTGCAATTTCCATAAATTTGTATTTCAATCACTATGACTTTTCCAATCGCTTCTCATCACATCACCTCATACGAGTCTGGCTCAATTGGCAGAGCTCTTACCTCTGGGTCAGAAGTTCAAGCCCCACGTAAGAATTTGAGCTCACAGCCTTAGCTGTCACTCCAGTTCAGACATGCCCTCCGACAGATGAGAGGTAAAACCAAGATCCCGGCTCTGCCTGTTCAGGTAGACATTAAAGATCCCATGACTTTCCCAATTTCCTAGCCGACAATCCCGCAGATAAACTCATTATTCTTTGGCCTACAAAACCACAGAGACTATACTTTGCAGTAGATCTTGTGAAGCTCTTTAAAATGTCCTGATGTAAAAGGTGTTGCATCAAATTTGTGGATTATTAATTATTTCTCATTGAATTCATGGTCGGGTATGGGACCTTGCTGTGCACAAACTGGTCACTGCGAATGCCAGACAGTAAATCCCAGAGAATCATGGACATTTACAGAGTAGAAGAAAGCATCAAGTCTGCACCAGCTCTCAGAGCTATCTTTTAATCCCACTGCCCTAGGCCCATAAATTTCATATGTGGTATTGAGGGTGGAAATATTGTAACAGAATGAGATTAGGTTTGCACTGCAGATCTGAAGGCATTCGGATTGGAAGGTCTAGTAAACTGATGGAATGGGTTTGATGGACCTCCTCTCGTTCCTCAATTATATGAAACATTTAATGGTATTAAATGCAAGAATTATTAAAATTGACCCAGGCTCTAACCCTGGTCCTTTATCGATCTAGGTGTTATAATAATAATAATTCTTGGATTTGATATAGCGCCTTATCACATCTTTGAGATGTTTCAAAGTGCTTCACAAAATATACTGTAAAGTAAACCGACTGTGTATTTTGTGGGCAAAACGAGGCCACCAATTGCGTACAGCAGTGTCCCACAAACAGTCATGGATTGAGTGAACAAATTATTAATATTGTTTTTGAAGAGATTATTACTCCCGGAAAAGCAATCTGCCAATCAAGTAACACCTAAATTCCTACTTACTGCTGGGTAAACGGAAGCATGTGGTGTAAAGGAACTTGCCCAACATTTCACTGTACCGGGAATTGAACTCAGGTTCTCTCGCTTACGAGGCGAGTGCTCCAAGCACTTGGCATGATAATCCACGAGCACAGGGTTAGCTGCCTTGTGTGTTGACAGATTGGCCAATGGTGGCCAACCTGAGCCAAGCAGACAGAAATAACGATGTATCAGCGACCACAGGAAAAATGTTGAAATGACTTGTCTTAATTTCAAGAGGTCTCCTTTAGCTGGATCATTACTGTTAATTCCCATGAAAGCTTTGCGTAACAGTTGCATGTCCGTTCATGATCAGAAATGCCTGCTGGTGTTTGCGTCTGTGGCTTCCATCAAAAGGGGGCTAAGCCTCCTCCACCATTGTCGATCACTGACGGAAACCAGACACTTTTGGGGCTAGTCCCAACGGCTCTCTCCCTCTCCACCACCCTGCCATCTTGCGTCCCCTCCTTCCCCTGCCGGCCCCCGCCCTCTCGCGCCCCCCACCCTCATGCATCCCACCAGCCCCTGTCCTCGCGCGCATCCCGCTGGCTCACGCTCACCCCTCTGGGGCCCCTGCCCACTCGCACCCACCCCTCTGCTGGCCCCCACCCTCTCGAGTCCCCTCTCCGTCTCGTGCCCTGCCGGCCCCCACCCTCTCGTCCACTCCGCCCTCTCCCCGTTCCGCCCTCTCCCCCTGCCCCTCTATCCCCATTCCACCCCCTTCCTCTTTCCTGCTGGAGGCTAGAGCCGCTGTAAGTTGGCTTGGATGATTTTCACTCTTTTGTTTGCTGACGTGAAAGGCGCTATACAAATGTAATATTGTTATTATTGAGCAGCACAATCACTGCCTGGGGAAAGGATGGTGAAAAAGATGCCTTTGAACATATTGTGAAGATGTTTCCCACTGTGCCTGTGTCTGTGGTCAGCGACAGTTACGACATCTATAACGCCTGTGAGAAAATCTGGGGTGAACAGCTGAGGAGTTTGGTTGAAAGGAGGAGTCCTGGTGCTCCACTTATTATCCGGCCTGATTCAGGAAATCCCCTCGATACCGTTTTACAGGTATTTGCTTTGTCAGCTGTCTCCACACTGACTGGAAGCAGCCAAAGTGTGGTCGTGGAAATGGGTCATCAGCAAATTCAAACTGGCAACAGCGCTAATCTCTCTCTCTGTCTGACTCATTCTCTCCCTTGACTCATTCTCTTACTCATTGTCTCTCTACATCTCATCTCTCTCCCTCTCTGTGTGTCTCTCTCTCTCTGTCTTTTATTGTTTCTTTCTCTGACTCTCTTTCTGATTGGCTCATTCTCCCTCACAGTTACATTTACTTTAAAACTAATTCTGTCAGTTGCTGTTATTAAATGGCAGAATCTTTTGCTCTAATAGGTCCTTGACATTCTTGGGCGGAAATTTCCAACAACTGAGAACTCCAAAGGTTATAAATTGCTGCCTCCTTACCTGCGGGTCATTCAGGGCGATGGAGTGGACATACACAGTCTACATGAGGTATGAGCACCCACACTGGCACGGCACTGCTCACAACGGTCTGTTCATGTGTAGAAACATCTACTTAGTCTACAAAGGAGACAGCACGGAAATAGGCCACTAGCTCCAACCAGTCTGTGTCGGTGTTTATACTGCTCCATTCCTTGCTCCCTCCTATTCCCTTCCATTCCCCTCCCTCATGTGAAGGTCTCATTTCCTTTTGAATGCATCAAAACTATCTGATTCAAGCACCTCTTCAGGGAGAGTGTTCCACAATCTGATGACCCTCTGCTTTAGGTAGTTCCTCCTAAATTCTTGTGAATCTGCTAGTAACTATTTGTGTCCCCTAGTTACAGACTCTCCAACCAGCGGAAACTGCTTATTCATGTGAACCTAATCTAATCCTTTTATAATTTTAAACATGTCTATTAGATTCCCCGCTCTCCCCCCCCCCCCCCCCCCCCCCCACCAAAAAAATCTTGTCTCTAGTGAAAAAGGGCCCAACCTAAATAATCTAACCTGACAGCGGTAACCTGGCAGCCCTGGGATCATCCTCATAAACTTGGGAAAATCTCCCCTCCTTCGCCTCTGATGCCCTTTCTTTGCAAATCTATCTGGAGATAATTGAAATCACCCAGAATTATAACTTCTGTTTTTCTCCCTTATATGTTGGCATATTTCTTCTATGTACTACATTTCCACTGTTGGGTGGCCTGTAGCTTACCCCCAATACCGTGGCCTGTATTTCAAAATTCTACCGCCTGTATCCTTACCCGCACCAAACTCTGTAGCCCTCTCTATGCCAGGCTGGACTGGCTTCTTGTACAGAACAGATCAATTTCAAAATTTTTACACTCGGTCAAAATCACTTCATGCCCTGGCACCTCCCTAGCTCTCCAACCTGCTTGCACCTCACTCCACTACCTACATTCTCCGTTCAGCTGGCTTCAGCCTCATGCTTGTCCCTCGTACACTCCAATATCAGCGGCTGTGCTTTCAGCCACTGTGCCCCAAAACTTTGGAACTCAGTTCAACCATTTTGCCTCCTCATTCCTCATCTTCAGATCTCACCTGAAGATGTTCCTCTTCTGCAGTGGTCTCCCCAGCTCGGCATCACTCAGTCACTGTTAAGCACTCCGACATGCCACTCCGGGTGAAGCATTTCATATAAAATCAAGTTGTTGATGTTGTAGATTACTCCTTATTTTGTTATTGGATCGGCCATGAATCACAACCCGCGGCTTGGTGATATCTCGAACTAGCACTACACAATGTACAATTCAGGATTCACAGAATGTGAGACAGACACTCAATCTCCAGCACCTTCAGATTGTGGGCCTCCTCTTCTTCAGTCTTCTCATCCTCCTACACTTCCATAGCTCAGGATTGAGGTTGCCTCACCACTATTTGACTTGCCTGGGTTCTCTGCTACTCTTATTTAGTAGATTCTGGACCACAGCATCTTGCAGCCTGTTTCACTTTGGGTGACTACCCCAAAGTACTTTTCAGTGATAATAGGGATCCCTGAGTAGGAAGGAACGGATTGGGGAGTTCAGGATGTCAACCAGATGCGCTGTTCAAAACTATGAAGTCCAACAAGGTTTTCAATTGAAGAATGAATCTTCCTAAAAGTAACAAGCTTTTTTGTTTTAATGTTTTAGATTGTACAGGGACTGGAAGAAAAGAGGTGGAGCATTGAAAACATTGCCTTTGGATCTGGGGGTGCTTTGCTGCAGAAAATGACAAGAGACCTTCTGAACTGTTCATTCAAATGCAGTTATGTAGTAACCAACGGCCAGGGGGTACGTTTAGTCTTACAAAAACGTGGTGGGGGAGGGGCAGTGCTGGTGTAGGCAGAGGTACTGCTCACACACCAGGATCTCACTGGTTAGAATGCTGCTTTGTGCTGAGTTTGATGCTCTTAAGCTATTCAGGGCTGTATGAGTTGGCGAAACCAGCCAGGGATCCTGTTTCTGCTCCCTCTGCAATGCCCTCTACTGGATATATGCCTGTGTATCTGCGTGTGTGTATCATTCGTGTCTATTATGTATGTATCGTGTGAAAGAGACAGCTGGATGGGGAGAGGTCAGGCTCGCCGGTGACGTCCTCTACAGGCTCGAGCTACCGACGCTCGCTGCTGAGGCTCACATGTATATAATGGCCACTCAGGTGGCTACTGGAGAACAAACCGCTCCCATGGAATTCAACGCCAGAGAGGAGATCAGGCCAGGGGCAGAGGGGCAAATACCCTCATTGAGGGGAGGGAAGACACATCTCTGGCACAAACTGATGAGTCCTTAGTCACAGTACGAATATCTAATTGTAATCTCCCTTGTTAGATTGCACCAATTAAGTGCAGCAGAACTAATTTGTTCCTCTCTTTAGATGAATGTTTTCAAAGATCCTGTCATGGATCCAAACAAGCGATCTAAAAAAGGCCGTCTGTCATTGCATCAGACCTCCTCCGGGCAGTTCATTACGCTAGAAAAGGGAAAAGGGGAGCCTGAAGAATATGGCCCGGTAAGTTGATCTGTGCTAGATTCAGGTCTTATTACAATTTTTTTTTTTTTTATCTAAGCATTAGATGAGAAGCAATTGTTTGCTAAAATGTACCAGGTTATTGTGTTATGCAAATGGGTGAAGACTCACAGAGCTAAGAACAAGAGAAAAACAGAAAACATCTCTGGCAGACATTTTTATAGCATTTTGTCTCAAAAAATGTCGCAAGCCTTGTTATCAATCAAGCATGTTGCTGAATTGGTACAATATAATTTTATTTATACAGCACAGGGTGAGAACTGAAAAAGTGGGAGCCAGGTAGTAACGACAGAGCGATAGAGTTGGGTGTCATCCGCATACATGTGGAAGTTAATCCCATGCTTGCGGATGACATCGCCGAGTGGGAGTATGTAGCTGTTAAAGAGGAAAGGACTGAGAATAGAGTCCTGAGGATTGCCAACGTGACTGAGGAGAAGCCATTTGAAAAAACAAAGAAGTGATGCTGGGACAGGTAATAATGAAACCAGGAGAGGACAGAACCTTGGAAGTAGAGCTGATAGGAGCAGTGGTGGAGAAGGATTGCGTGATCAACAATGTCAAAAGCGGCAGAGAGATCAAAAACAATAAGGCAGAGATGGAGAGAACGTGATTGGTAACTTTCACCAGGGAAAATTCTGCAACAGTTTGCACACAGTGCAAATGTGCCTCAAACAGCCATGAAGCGAATGTCCAATTCTATAGAGGTACAGCTCAGAAACAGGCCATTTTGCACCCACCTACTGCTCCGACCTACTATCCCCCTACTTAACTGCCCGTACCCTCCGTTCCTCTGGCTCCGGTCTGCTCCACATCCCCTGCCCAACCGCCCTACCATCGGTGGCAGGGCCTTCAGCCCCTAGGCTCTGGAACTCCATCCCCCAGTGCCTTCGCCTTGCTTCCTCCCTTTCCTCCTTCAAGGCCGGTCTCAAAACCTTTCTCTTTGACCGTGCCTTCAGCTCCCCTCTCAACTCTCTACCCCCTCGCCCCCTCCCTTCCCTCCCCTCACCCTGACCAATTCCCCCCTGCTCGGGTCCTGACCCAACTGTCCAGCGCCTTGGGACGTCCTCCCGACGTAAAAGGCGCTCTATAAATGGAATCTTGTTGTTGTCCATTTTGGCTGGTGTTCGAATTCAAGATCCTCATCCTCACCTACAAGGCCATTCACGTCCGTGCACCCTCCTACCTCTCCGACCTATTATCCTCCTACTTACCTGCCCATACCCTCCGTTCCTCTGGCTCCGGTCTGCTCCACATCCCCCGTCCTAACCACCCTCCCTTCGGTGGCCGGGCCTTCAGCCTCTCAGCCCCTAGGTTCTGGAACTCCATCCCCCAGTGCCTTCGCCTTGCTTCCTCCCTTTCCTCCTTCGAGGCCGATCTCAAGACCTTTCTCTTCAGCCATTCCTTCAGCTCTCCTCTCGACTCTACCCCCTCCTCGCTCCCTCCCTTCCCTCCCCTTGACCATTTCTCCCCTGCTCGGGTCCCGAACCAACTGTCCAGCGCCTTGGGACGTCCTCCCGACATGAAAGGCGCTCTATAAATGCAATCTTGTTGTTGTTGGTGGTGTTTCCACTCCACACATGTGCCTATTCTAGATCCCATGTTGAGTCCCATATCCCGGCTTTTCCCCACATCCCTCAACTTTATTCCCTCTTAACCATGTCTTGTTTGAATGTGCACATGGTTGCTGCCCCAACCATTGACTGTGGCAAATACTCCACTCCCTGTGTGAAAATTTTCTCCTAATCTCTGTTCTAAACCTCCCAGTTCTGATTCTAAAACTATGCCCTTGATTTCTAGATTCCGACCACTGGAAATAATCTTTCCCTGTCCACCCTACCTAAGGCTCTAATCATCTCGATCATAAACCCCTCTCAGCCTTCTGATATTGAAAGGAAAAAAACAGTTTACCAACCTTTCTCTATAACTGCATTTCCTCATTCCAGTGCAAGGTGGAGTCCTGTAGCACATTGGTTAGAGCACTCACCTCCAAAGCAAAGGGACTTGGGTTTGATTCCCGGGCAGGATGAAACGTAAGGCAAGTTTCCTTACCCCACATGCCTGTTTACCTAGCAGTAAGTAACCCGCTAGGGTTGTTAGTTGATTGGCAGATCGCTTTTCCGGAAGTAATAATTCTACAAAAATATATATTTGAATTATTTGGTCAATGACTGTTTGCAGATACTGCTGTGTGCAATTGGCTGCAGGTTTCACCCACAAGTATAGTCAATTCATTTTACAGTACTTTCTGTGAAGCGCTTTGAGCTGTCGCGAAGATCTAATTATTATTATAATGTGGCCTAGCCATCGTTTTGTAGAGATTCAACATGACCTCATTATCCTTGAGGTATTCCCCTTGCTATAGATTCCAAGACCTCATCGGCTTTTTCTAATGACCTAGCTCACTGCCTTCAGTGACCTGTGAATCTATGCTCTGAGATCACTGTTCATCTACCCCTCTAAGATTTGTCGCTTTTAAGTTATACGTTCTTCCTTATGTTTGTCATCTCGAAATGAACTACTTCATATTTTTTCCCGCTGGTTTCCATCTGTCACTTGTCTGACCACTCAGCCATCCTATCAATTTGATTTTGATTCTCCTCAGTATTTATTATTCCTCCCCTTCTCTCCTCCCTAAACCTCACCTTCCACATCACCTCACCGACCCACAACCGTTGCCACCCCCTCGACCTCATGACCTTGCCATTTCCAATCTGTTCCATCACAGACAGGGCCATCTTGGACCACTTCCTTATCTCCCCTCTTCCAATCCCTGGCCCATCACAGACAGGGCCATCTTGGACCACTTCCTTATCTCCCCTCTTCCAATCCCTCCACCATTTTTTTCTGCCATTGGAAAAAGCTTCCCTCTCAGTCCCTCAAAAATGCCCTCTCTTCCTCAGACCTCTTCTCCCTCTGTCCCTCCACCCACAATGTTCCTGATGCAGACATCAAGCTGCTCCACAACCTTGAACTCCCTGGATTCCCTGAAATGCAGGGCTGTTTGAAAACCTACCCACTCCCCCAAGTATAATGGTCACCTCCATTCACTTAAAACACAAACCCAGATGCTCAAGCACAGATGACAGAAATCCGGCTTCACGAGTCACCTCCAGCTGTGGCACAAGAACCTCCGCACTTACCGCCTCTCCCTTTCACAGACCAAAACTGACTTTTATTCCAAAGTCATCCTGGAGGCCAAAAACAATCCAAATACACTGTTTTCCACTGTCCATCACCACCTCTGTGCACACCCTCAAGCTCCCTCTATCCTCTGCCTCTGGCTCCTCTTCCTCCTGGATCTCTGCCGCAGTCGACACGGTGGCCCACGCCATTCTCCTCCACCGCCTCTCCTTCCTTATCCACCTTAGTGGGACCTCGTTCCCATGGTTTCAGCCCTACTTAACCAATCGCTTCCATTTAATGTGGCTTGTGGTTTCTCCTCCCGCCCCCACCTGGTCACCTGTGGGGTACCCCAGAGCTCCTTCCTTGCCCCGCTTTTCCAAATCTACATTCCATGTCTGGCGATGTCATCTGCAGACATGGAGTAAACATCCAAATGTATGCGGATGACACACAAATCTACTTTGCCTCCTCCAGTATCGACTCCAGGTCTGCCGATGTTCTATCAGCCTGTTTGGCAGACATCAGGGCCTGGATGAGTGCAAACTTCCTGCAGCTAAATGTGAACCAGACTGAAGCACACTCTTTGGCTTCCATCAACGTCTTCACTTCTGTGGATCTAAACTCCTCAACCTCCCTGGGATCTCCCTCAGACTCACCGAACCAGTGTGCAATCTAGGCATCCGGTTCAACCCCCAGCTGTCCTTACTCCCCCACATCCAGTCCCTGACCAGGATTGCCTTCCTCCACTTCGGCTACATTGCCCGCCTCCAACTATACCTTATCCCAAATGGGGCTGAAACTCTTGTCCATGTGTTTGTCAACTCCCACCTTGATTACTCAAATGCACTCCTCGCTGGTCTCCGCAGCTCCACTATGCAAAAAATCCAGCTTATTCAGAACTCTGCTGACTGCGTACTTACCCGGACCAAACTCCATACCTGTCTTACCAGTTCTGGCCAGGCTCCACTGGCTCCCCATCACCGAATGGATCAACTTCAAGATCCTCACACTCATGTTCAAATCGCCTCACTCCATGGTACCTCCCTATATCCGACCTCCTCACTCCTCAATCCACCACCTGGCAACTCCGCTTGACTAGCACCAGCCTCCTCCTGCTTGTCCCTCATACCCTCCACTCCATCATCGGAGGTTGCGCTTTCAGCCAATTCACCCTAAAACATTGGAACGCTCTCCCTCAATCCCTCCGCCTTGTCCCCTCGCTCCCGTTTTTCAAGTCCTGCATTAAAACCTTCTTCACACAGGGAAGCGTGCCAGAGCGCTTGACAGTGGTGGAGCGTGATGCTGAGCCAGGGGAAAGGGGAGCGAACTGTAGCCACAGTCAAATAGGAAGGTCTTCAGACGCAACCCAAAGATAGGGAATGAAAGAGCAAGGTGGAGGAATAGATGAAGAGTGTTCCAGAGTTTCGGGGTATAGTTGCTGAAAGCACGGCCACCAATGGTGGAACGGAGGGAACAAGGCACATACAGAAGGCAAGTCGAACAAAGGCAGTGAGTTGGTGGGGGGCAAGCAGGTCGAAGAGGTAGATAGGTAGATGCCAGTGCATAAAGGGATTTGAAAACGAGTGAGGATCTTGAAACTGATCCATTTGGCGATGTGGAGCCTGACTAAAACTGGTACAGAGAATACGGGCGGCAGAATTTTGGATCCTGTGCATGGTGCAACTGGGGACACCGGCAAAGAAGGAATTTGAGAAGTTGAGTCGGGAGGTGTCAAACGCATGGACAAGTGTTTCTGCTGCGTCTGAGGTAAAGTACGGTTGGACGCAGGCAATGTGGCTGAGGTGGAGGAAGCCGGTCCTGGTCAGGGACCGGATGTGGGGAATGAAGGACAGCTGTGGGTCAAAGAACCTGATGCCGATGTTGCGCACTGGTTTGGTAAGTCTAAGGGATAGGCTGGGGAGGTTGAGGAAGTCAGAGCCGTAGGATAGAAGGCATTGACCGGAGCCAAGGAGTATGGCTTCCATCTTGTCAACACTAAGTTGTAGGAAGTTTTTGCTCATCCAGGCCCTGATGTCTGCCAGAGACGAGCCGAGAGAACATTGGCGGACCTGGAGTCCCAGCTGGAGTAGGAGAAGTAGATTTGTGGGTCATCTGCATACATGTGGAAGTTTACCCCATGTCTGCGGATGACAGTGCTAAGAGGGATGAGTCTATGGATGAGGAAGAGTCGGGGGCCAAGGTTGAAGCCCTGGGGTACACCAAAGGTGACCAGGCGGGGGCAGGAGGAGAAACTGTTTGTGGAGATAAAGTGAGCATGGGATTTCATGAAAATCATGTTTGGTCAGCCACATGTCTGACACAGGTGGAAACTCATCACCCTAATTAAGAGTTTTGCCCACAAAATATATAGTCAATTCACTTTACAGTATGTTCTGTGAAACGCTTGAAGACTTCTCAACGACGTGATAAGGTGCTACATCAAATACAAGGATTATTATTTCCAAATCAAACTGGGATTAAGAGTTCCATATATGTATTGGAAATGGAAATTTCCCTGAAATGAAATACACCCTCTATCCCAATGGGCGGTCAGGGGTTGGGGAGAGGTCAAAAAGGTCAACTTCTGGGTGCTGCTATCATCACTTCCTGCTCTTTATATACATGAATTGCTTAAGTCATTTGTACATAAGAAGTGATATTAGTTACATTTCCTATGCACAGCTTGCATGCTGCAATGTGCAGGAGCGACTCTAACCCTACGATACAAATCACACATTTTTTGTGTGTCTCGGTTGTGACCCGCCGGCAGAGATGGTGCAGCAAGCTGACAGTTACAACAAGGCCAGGACCTCCCTGTATTATGCTAATGACATGTCTCCATGTTGTGTGTTGCCAGGACTTACTGCACACCGTTTTTAAGAATGGCAGAATTGTGAAGAGTTACACCTTCGACCAAGTTCGAGAAAATGCCACGTTAAAGAAAAAAGATCTTGAAGAGCTCCCGTGACGACGTGATTTCCACGAGATTGTAAACATGTCTGCAATGAGTGGCTCATTGCGTGTGCATGTGTGGATGTGTGTTTATCCTCAGTTGTGGTAACTTGAAACAAATTTCTAGAACCACTTCATGCTGGATCGTGTGTAAGGACACAGCAAATGAGTCAACAAACAAAAAGCCCCAATGTTTCCACCGGATTGCTTCAGTTCGACCCTGGGGTTTGTGACAACTGCCCCCCCCCCACAAACACACACACCCACAACCCCACCCAGACAAACCCTCCCCTCCACACACACAACACCCCCCACACACACACACACCCACAGACTTCCCTGCTAACCCCCCCAAATTTCCACATGTAAGTGGGATGCATTTAGTTTGAAGTAAGTTGTTTCGTGTAGATACTCTTAAGCATAGTGATGGGTTTCCGCATGTGTCAGACACCTGGCTGACCAAAAAGAAAGCACCCTCCCCCATGCACAGCCCCCCGTGACACACTTCACACACACACACACACACAAAATAACCCACTAACACACACACACACATAACCTCTACACAAACTACCATAGAGTAACTCATTTGGATACTGATTATCTGCTGCCTGTACAGTGAGATGTAAATGGTTGAGAATCATACACAAAATTAGGAATTATGAAGATGTGCAAAAAAAAATTTGCTTCCCATGTTGACTGCACCTCTCATTACAAAGGACATGCTGAGAAACACGATTAGAAATGGGCCAAAGTTGGGAAATATTTTAAAATATATTTTTGATGTGTATATAATATATGCCTTTATTCAAATTTTTTGTGTTTTAGTATTCAGGAGAATATTTCTTTTTATGAGGTTCTGATGTCTAATTTGAATGTGGAGGCAGATGGAAAGATGGAGAAACTACAATCTTGTTTGTAAGTGTGGATGGACCATTTGGAAGCCTGGCCCTCTTCTGCTCAGCTTTTCCTTTTGGAAGGAATGATCCAAGTAAAATACTTAATGCTGTAGTATTCCCCCCCCCCCCCCCCCCACCAATTTACCTGCTAGAATTGTAGGGGGTTTCAACAGACCTTCACTTTTAACACACCAAAAGAAGCTGTCACAACTGCCTTTGCAGGTACCAGCCGGGATTCATATCAAAAGTCGGCGATTGTGCTGCTCTAGTAAATAGATGTTAATCAGACTTGCAATGTATTTGTTCAGCTCACTAATCCTTTCATTCACAACCATTTCACTTCTATCCCCAAACCTAACCTTTCTCAAATCACATTTAACCCAGTGCTTTTCATTTTTGCCTTGTTTGTACAATTTATTTTTGCCTCGTTTGTAAAATTTTAAATCCCATTAATTTTAAAAGTAGTTGCGGTAAGGCTTGAGATGCTGGGAACTTGCTGTTTATTGTCACCCTGCACAATAGCTGGCTTTCAGGGTAGTGTGTAAGGCAGGGATTCAGGCTGGAAAGATATGTTAAATAGGCAAAAAAAGACAAAACAGTAGAATCAACCCTTTAAAAAATGTCCCTTAAATTCTTAAAGCTGCTGTGGTCAGTGACATGCTTGATAGTGTATCTATGTTGTATTTCATGTCCCTAGAATTTTTGAAAATATTAGGTTTTTTTGTATTCCCTGTTGTGACAAAACTCCAAAACATTACATATTGTTCCTTAGACTATGCAATAGGATTGTTTTATAACAATGCACAGAAAATACTATCTTCTATTTATCCGTACACCAATAGCTTCACAGTTCTTCACACCATAGGCAAAATCATGTGAGAATAAACCCATATGCTAATTAATTTGTGTTAACATCATTTTTGTCTTCCCCACACCATGACCCACAAGTAAAGTGCATGAATAGAGGGAATTCAGTCAAACTGCTTTCAGAGCAGATTTGCAGGTGATTTGTCTTCTGTTATCTCAGACCCAGTGCCGAGAGGAGAAAATCAGGGGATACAAATTGATCTCAGCCACAAGTTATTCAACAGAGAAATAATCCTTGCATCTGATCCAGTGTCTTTTGCATTAGTGTAAAACTGTTTCACAAGATACACTGTCAAGTATTAGTGACTTTATTTTGTGGGCAAGCTTGACGGCCAATTTGTGCACAGCAATGTCCCATAAATAGCTAAGAAGTGAATTACCAATTTTATCTGGGTGACACCGGGAGAGAAACTCACTTCTCTTTGAGGATTGCCATGGGTTCTTTAACATCCACCTGAGCAGGCACAGAGGGGAGTTCAACGTTTCATCTGAAGGATGGCACCAGCCACAAAGCAGCATATTCCCAGCAGTGCATTGGAGTGTCACGTTATGAGTTCCAAATCCTGAAGTGGGGCTTGAACTCACAGCCTTTTGATTCAAAGGTGAGAGTGGTGCTACAAACTGAGCCAGGCTGACACCTCTTGGAACAAGTGAGACATAAATGCAATTCTAAGATGTTGCTTTTGTTTAGCTGGGTGGCTAACACACTGGGAAACAAGTGCTTTTGTTTAGCTGGATGGCTAACACACTGGGAAACAAGTTCACCCTGAATAATAATAATAATAATCCTTGCATTTGATATAGTGCTTTTCACGTCGGGAGGACGTCCCAAAGCGCTTCACAGATCACACTGTAAAGTGAATTGACTGTATATTTGTGGGCAAACGCAGCAGCCAATTGCGCACAGCAATGTCCCACAAACAGTCGTAGATTGAAAATGACCAATTTATTATTGTTTTTGGTTTTGGAGGGATTATTATTTTGTATCTCCACGATATGGCTCACTCCCCCCTTGCAGTGTACTTGGTGACCTCTGTAATCAGTTCTTACTAATGCAAGAACTTATCGCTCAGTGTTTCTTGCTACCAGATCGACTATTAGTCGATGCAAACTGGGAAGCTTCAGTCAATAAGAGGTTTATATTTGAATACCTCTTTGACCTAGGCTGAACATGTTTGTGTTAATCCCTCTTATATTGTAAATTAACAGAGAGCTTGAATTAAGAAATGGTTAAGAAAACTCGACGGTATTTGTATGGTTCGTTCAGAATCCAAATTCCTCGGAAATAGTTGAAAGTGATTTCAACAAATAATAATGAATTACACAAATAACTAATCAACTTAAAAAAATGCTAGCTAACAGCTTATTAAATATGAGGTTGATGTATGTGCACTGAACCAACTCTTGACTCAGAAGGTTTGTTCCTCTGGCCAGTCAAGATATATTGAAGCACTCTGAGACGCTGTCCGGCGTGGAGGGCGCTATATAAATCCAAGTTGTTGTTGTTGTACCTTTCTGATGTTATCAAGTAAAAAACAAAACTAGGAGTTTCAGGTATATTGGGAAATCTTCCAGGATTGGAGTTCAAAAGGGGAAATGTCCGTCAAAGCTGGTGGAACCTCCTGCGAACAAAAACAACAAAATTACATTTGTATGGCGCTTTTCACGTGGGGAGAACGTCCCAAGGTGCTGGACAGACAAAGAGTTTTGGACCCGAGCTGGAGGTCGTGGAGGGCGGGCTGGAAGCAGGGAGGTCAAAAGCACGGTCAAAGAGGAGGGTCTTGAGATGGGTCTTGAAAGTGGCAAGGGAGGGGGTGAGCTGGGGGGTGGAGTTCCAGAGGGTGGGGGCAGAGTGGCAGAAGGTCCACCCGCCAATAGTAGGGCGAGCGAGGCGGGAGATGTGAAGCAGGCCGGAGTCCACTGACCGGAGGGAGCAAGCAGGATGGTAGGGGGTAAGGAGCTCACAGACGTAGGGAGGAGCAAGACCATAGAGGGCTTTGAAGGTGAGGAACAAGATGTTAAACTGTATCCTCTGAAATGGGAAGCAAGTGGAGTTGGGTAAGGATGGGAGTGATAGGGTCACGGAGCCTAGCGCAGGAGAGGAAACGGGCTGCAGATTTCTGGATGATCTGCAGCCTGGGGAGCGAGGAACTGGGGAGGCCGACAAGCAGTGAGTTTGCATAGTCGAGCCTTAATGTAATGAAAGCATGTATGAGGGTTTTGGCGGCCTGTTGTGTGAGAGTGCCAGAGCCGGGGGATGTTGCAGAGGTGGGGGAAGGCAGAGCGGTTCATGGTGTAGATGTGGGGTAGAAAGGATAGTTGAGGGTCAAACAAGACACCAAGGTTCTGGACTATCTTAGCAAGGTGGAGTGTGCAACCGTGGATGGCAATGCTGTCAGTGCCTGAGGTGAGGAGGTGCTGACGGGAGCCAATCAGGAGAGCCTTAGTCTTGTTGATGTTCAACGAGAAAGTTAGCTCTCATCCAGTACTTGATGTCTGCCAGACATTCTGTCAGGACAGCAGTGGTCCTGGAGTCAGGGGTGGAGGCAGAGAGGTAGAGTTGGGTGTAAGAGCCCTGAGGAACTCCGCACGAGACGGTGCGGGAGCTAGAGGAGAAACCGATAGAGTGGTTGACGGAGTCAAAGGCAGCAGAGAGGTCAAGGAGGACGAGGAGGCAGAGGGAGTCCTGGTCGCAGATGAACAGAATGTCATTTGTGACTTTGACCAGAGCTGTTTTTGCGCTGTGGGTGGCACGGAAACCCAATTCGAAGGGCTCGAGAAGGGAGAGGCGGGAGCGGAAGTAGTGGAGCTCAGAAGCAACGACTCATTCCACGATCTTGGGAGAGGAAAGGGAGGTTGGAGATGGGGTGGTAGTTTGGGAGTAGAGATGGGCCCAGGGACGGTTTTTTTAAGGATAGGAGTGATGACGGCTGTTTTTTAATGGGGTGGGAACAATACCAAAGGACAGGGAGAAGTTTATGATGTCAGTGAGTAGAGGGGCAAGGAGGTGGAGCTGGCAGGTAAGGAGAGGGGTAGGGATGGGTCGAGGGAGCAGGTGTCAGTTTCATACGGGTTATGGTAGTGATGAGAGAGGAGGGGGAGACAAGTTCAAAGGTGTGGAGGGCGGGATGGGTAGGGGCCGGGGTGGGGGAGGGAGATTTTTTTCCATGGGCAGTAGCAGAGGAAGGTGGGTTGGGTGGCGGTAGGGAGAGGGACTGAAGAGTTAAGGGAGATGAAGTGATGGTCCGAGATTGCTTTGTCAATGATGGTGATGTCCGAGACGGTGAGGCCCCTAGTGATCACCAGGTCGAGGGGGTGACCGTAAACGTGGGTGGCGGAGTAGATGTGGAGGGAGAGATTGAGGGAGGAGATAAGGGAGGAAAAGTCAACAGAGATCGAGCAGGAAGGGGTGAAGTGAAGCTTGAAGTCGCCTAGGATGAGGAGGCATTCAGAACAGAAGGAGAGGGAAGATAGGAGAGTGTCGATGTCCGGGATGAAGGTGGGGGAGAGCTTGGGTGGGGGGGGGGGGGGACGATAGATGAGGAGAATTTTGAGGGAAAGGTTAGAGGGGTGATAAAGGGTAAGGTGCTCAAAGGAGGGGAAGTTTCTAGAGGAGTGTGGGAATAGGCTGAATGGGGACCGGGAAATGAGAGCCACACTGCCACCATGGCGGTTAGGTCGTGGGGTATGATGGAAGGTGTAGCCAGGTGGTGTGGCCTCCCTCAGGGGAAAGGTGTTGCCTGGAGTGATCCAGGTTTCAGTGAGAGCAAGAATGTCGATGTTTTCATCGATGATGAGATTTAGGATGGTGAGGGAGTGGACATTTTACAGACCAATGTGGAGGCGACAGTTGGTGGCAGAATGTGGGGTTTGAGGGGGGCAGGGGTAGGACTGACAGGGAGGGTGGGGATGTCGATCGTGAAGGAGAGGTTGGCCCCTGTGGTGGGCCTTGTGGCGAGAATGGGGGATAGGGCAGTCAGAGTGACTGCTGTTGGACAGCCAGCGGCAACTCATATGGCGGACCTGACGGAGGATTCGTAGGCTGGAACAGGGAGGCAGTGGGGTGGTCGAGCAGGGATAGGAGTCGGGGAGGGCGGTGGGAGAGGAGGACCGAGCGGGGGTAATGGAGGGTAAAGGACAGGGGTGGCATTATGGAGAAGCAGCTCGGGTCAGTGGCAGCAGCCAAAATCTGCACGCCAAGACTAAGAGCGAACAGCAGGGGGGGTTAGGGGAGGGGTCAGCGAGTGGCAGGAGTCATCATGGGGAGAAAGGACAATTATAGTTCCAGTGGGTCCAGGCTGAGAGATTCAAAGGTGCGGGCGGATGTGACATCATGCGGCAGCCGGGCTCTGGTTGGTTGTTGACCAGGAGAGTCAGCGATGGCCGCCATGGCCACGGTGGTGAATCCCACGGTGGCGAATCCCACATTGGATCCCCATGGCTTGGGTAGGTGGGCCTCGGTCCCCGCATTGGATCAGGACGCCGTTTGGGGCATCGGACGCCGCCCTAGTGCTGGCCTCAAGCCCTGGTCGGCCTCACTCGTCTGTAAGCCAGGGGCCCTACTCCAAGTGTTGAATTGAGACCTCACTCCAGGTGTTTATTCAGGCGTCGATTAAGGCCTCACTCCAGGCGTCGCTCATGTGAAGTCGTCTCGGTCCCCATTCAAGGCCGCCCGTCGCAGGGGGCCTCAGACCCAGGAAGTCTTGCCCTCCCCCGCTCAGCTCCAATGGGCCTCCAATTGAGCCTACCTGCCAGGATTGCAAAAAATAGGATTTTTCACCCTGAATAACAGAAAGCTTGTTCCAGGCTTGATTTTCCAACATTACAAATTGCTGAAGCATCGTCTTAAGGGTTCCATCGAACCGTTCTACCAGCACATAGCACATCCTGTGGGTGGTAGACCAAGGTCTTAATGGAGGTTATTTTAAATTCCTTAAGAACTGACGGTAGGAGATGAGACATGAGTCCTGGACGAGAGATAACTTTCTCCAGCTCAACGTGCGCAAAACTGAGGCCCTCCTGATTGGCTCGCATCAGCGCCTCCGCACCTCAGGCGCTGACAGTATCAGCATCCAAGGCTATTCACGGCCTTGCTCCCTCCTACCTCTCCAACCTACTATCCCCCTACCTACCTGCCCGTACCCTCCGTTCCTCTGGCTCTGGTCTGCTCCACGTCCCCCGCCCCAACCGCCCTACCATCGGTGGTCGGGCCTTCAGCCTCTCAGCCCCGAGGCTCTGGAACTCCATCCCCCAGTGCCTTCGCCTTGCTTCCTCCCTTTCCTCCTTCAAGGCCGGTCTCAAAACCTTTCTCTTTGACCGTGCCTTCAGCTCCCCTCTCGACTCTCTTCCCCTCCTCGCTCCCTCCCTTCCCTCCCCTCACCCTGACCATTTCCCCCTCCTCGCTCCCTCCCTTCCCTCACCCTGACCATTTCCCCCCTGCTCAGGTCATGACCCAACTGTGCAGCGCCTTGGGACGTCCTCCTGACGTGAAAGGCGCTTTATAAATGGAATCTTGTTGTTGTTGTTGTTGCACTCTCCACCTCTCAAAGCCAATCAGGAACCTCGGGGTTCTGTTCGACCCTGAGCTGTCCTTTCTCCCTCATATCTGCGCCACAACTGGCACCGCCTTCCATCACCTCCGGAATGTCACCAGACTATGGCACTACCTCACCCCTCACGCTGCTGAAACTCTGGTCTACGTTTATCACCTCAAGGCTGGACTATGGGAACTCTCTCCTCGCCGGCCTTCCCGGCACCTCCCTCCACAAGCTGCAGGTCATTCAGAACTCTGCAGCTCGTGTACTGTCCCGCACCAGGCTTCGCGACCACATCACACCCACTCTCGCTCGCCTCCACTGGCTCCCCATCCCCTAGAGGATCGAATTCAAGATCCTCACCCTCACCTACAAGGCCATTCAGGGCCTTGCTCCCTCCTACCTCTCCAACCTACTATCCCCCTACCTACCTGCCCATACCCTCCGTTCCTCTGGCTCCGCTCTGCTCCACATCCCCCGCCCCAACCGCCCTACCAGCGGTGGCCGGGCCTTCAGCCTCTCAGCCCCTAGGCTCTGGAACTCTATCCCCCAGTGCCTTCGCCGCTTCCTCCCTTTCCTCCTTCAAGGCTGGTCTCAAGACTTTTCTCTTTGACCGTGCCTTCAGCTCCCCTCTCGACTCTCTACCCCCTCCTCGCTCCCTCCCTTCCCTCCCCTCACTCTGATCATTTCCCCCTTGCTCGGGTCCTGACCCAACTGTACAGCGCCTTGGGACGTCCTCCCGACGTGAAAGGCGCTCAATAAATGGAATCTTGTTGTTGTTGTTGTTGCTGTGAAGCCATGAGCTGGGCCAACAGTTGCTACATTTTTCACTGGTTTTGTTTTTCTTTGTATGTGCAAGTCACAGTTCACTGCTCTCTTGAGCAGAAAGCCCAGCAGCATGAAGAGGGAACTGAGTGAGGTAGAAATAATATAAAACATGTCTGGGAATATGCAGCTGAGACCAGTTGCATACACAATGTGTGCCATGTGAGAACTCCAGAATGCTTTGGGTGCCCTGGACAAACACATGTATAGGAAGTGCTTCCAACTACTCGAGCTGGTTTCTGAGCTCAAGGAGAGGCTGGTGTCACTACATAGCATACAGGAGGCTGAAGAGTTCATGGATCAGGAGGTGGTCACCCCACAACCACAGAGAGTTCAGAAGGAGAATGAGTGGGAGACCACCCAGCATTGTAGGAAGAGGGGATGGGCAGTGCAGCAATCCCAAGAGTGTGGCACTCACAAACCGATTCTCTGTACTGAATAACGGTGAGGTCGATGACATCTCTGAGGAGGGGAGTCAAAAGCAAATGGATGCACAGAGTGACACAGGGGAGAGTGTCAATGCAATTGACATTGGGGACACAATGCTCTTTCACATCAGTAGTCAGGCGTTTCTGCAATCAAAGACGTGACTCTCGCATGGTATGTTGCCTCCCTGGTGTCAGGATTGAAGACATCACGGAACAGGTGCAAAACATTCTACGTGGGTAAGGGGAACATCCAGAAGCCATGGTCCATGTTGGAATCCATGCCATTGGGAAAAAAAGAGCTGAGATCCTACAGGGTGAGTATCAGAACTTAGGGAAAAAGCTAAAGAGTAGGATTCAAAGGTGGTGATCTCTGGATTGCTACCCAGTGCCTCATGCGAGTGAATATCAAAACAGCAGGATCAAACACATGAATGCATGGCTGGAGAAATGGTGCAGAAAGGAGGGCTTCAGGTTACAGGATCATTGCGACCAGCTCTGCAGCAGGTGGGACCTGTACAAGGTGGATGGGGGTTACACCTGAACAGTGCTGGGACCAATGTCCTCGCAGGGAGGTTAACTGGTGCTGTGAAGGGGAAGGGTTTAAACTAATTTTGAGGGGGGAAGGGAATCAGGATGTAGTATTAGAGAGGACAAACAAGTCACATAAAGGACTGAGTGAGATGAATAGCAGTGTAATAAGGAGTTGTCCAGAAAAAGGAGGGATTAGACGGGGGAGAAATGCAGAAAAGACTAAGTTGGTCTTGAAGTGCATGTGAGTAAACTCACGGACTGTGACAAATAAGATTGGTGAGCTGCAGGCTCAAGTTGCTACATGGAGTTTATGATGTGCTGGCAATAAAGGAGACCTAGCACAAACAAGGGCAGGAATATGAATAGGAAAGGGCTGAATATTCCTGGCTACAATGTATTCAGGAGGGATAGGGAAGGGAAAAAAGGGAAGGGGGGAGGCAATATTGATTAAAGACACGGTCATGGCCCTGGAAAGAGGCCCTGTGCTAGAATGTCCAAAAACAGAATCTATTTGGTTAGAGTTAAGGAGCAGAAAAGGATAGGTTACTCTGTTCGGTGTATACTATAAACCATCAAATTGTGGGAAGGAGAGAGAGATGAGAAAATCTGTAAGCAGCTTTCAGAAAGATGCAAAGCCAATAGAGAAATTGGATAAGATAAGAATAAACCGAGAGGAGGTACTAAAATGGTTGTCGGTGCTCAAGGTAGGTAAGTCACCCGGTCCGGATGGGATGCATTCTAAGTTACTGAGACAAGTAAGGGTGGGAATAACGGAGGCTCTGGCCACAATCTTTCAAACCTCCTTGGATCCTAGGGTTGTGCCAAAGGCCTGGAAGGTTGCAAATGTTACTCCCCTGTACAAAAACTGGCAGAAGGATAAATCTGGGAACAGGACGGTCAGCCTAACGTCAGTAGTGGGGAAACTTCCAAAGACTATAATCTGGGACAAAATAAATTTTCACTTAGAAAAATATGGGATAATAAAGGACAGCCAACATGAATTTGTTAAAGGCAAATCATGTCTAACAAACCTGATAGAATTCTTTGATTAAGTAATGAAGAGGGCGAGTGAAAGTAGTGCAGCTGATGTAGTTTATCAAAATTTCAGATGACCCACAGCATGGAAACAGCTCTGGTCAAAGTCACTAATGACATTCTGAACATCGGTGATCAGAGCTCCCTCTGCCTCCTTGTCCTCCTCGAACTCACTGCAGCCTTCGACACTGTTGACCAATCCATCCTCATACACCACCGCTCTGCTTTACTCAGTCTTCATGGATCTCCCTTGCCCGATTCGATTCCTATCTCTCTCACCTTCTCCACTTCATTGCCTCTAACGGTTTCTCCTCCAGCCCCCGCACTGTCACATCTGGTGTCCCCCAGGGCTCTGTCCTTGGCCCTCTCCTCTTTAATATCTACATGCTCCCCTTTGGTGACATCATCTGCAGACATGGGGTCAACTTCCACATGTATGCGGATGACACCCCACTCTCTCTTTCTGCCTCCACCCTCAACTCCAGGACCACTGCTGTCCTGACAGACTGCCAGTCGGACATCAAGTCCTGGATGAGGGCAAATTTCCTACAGTTGAATGTGAACAAGATTGAGGCCCTCCTGATTGCCTCGCGCCAGCGCCTCAGCACCCCAGGCTTTGGCAACATCAACCTCCATGGTTGCACACTTCAACTCACCAAGCCAGTCAGGAACCTTGGTGTCTTGTTCGACCCTCAACTGTCTTTTCTCCCCCACATTCAAGCCATAACCCACTCTGCCTTCCCTGACCTCCATAACATCTCCCGACTCTGCCACTACATCACCCATCAGGCCGCTGAAACTCTTGTTCATGCCTTCATCACCTCCAAGCTCAACTATGCAAATGCCCTGCTTGTCGGCTTCCCAACTCCTCCCTCCATAGGCTGCAGATAATCCAGAACACTGCAGCCCGTGTCCTCTCCCGCACCAAACTCCATGACCCCATCTCCCCACTCTTGCCCGACTCCATTGGCTCCCTATCTTTCAGAGGATCCAGTTCAAGATCCTCGTACTCACATACAAAGCCCTCCATGGCCTCGCCCAACCCTACCTCTGTGACCTCCTAATCCCCTACCAACCCGCTCGTTCCCTCCACTCAGCCGGCTCTGGCCTGCTCCACGTCCCCCAATCCACCCGCCCTACCATTGGCAGGAGAGCCTTCAGCCACTCTGCCCCCAATCTCTGGAATTCCATCCCCCAATCACTCCGCCTTGCCCCCTCCTTAGCCTCCTTCAATCCCGCCTCAAGACCCTCCTCTTTGACCATGCCATCGGCCACCCCCTTCCCCTCCCCTCCCTTACCCCCCCCCCAACCCCAGCTCAGATCTGGAATGCTGTTCTCTGTCAAGTGCCTTGGGACATCCTCCCAACGTGCAAGGCGCTATATAAATGTAATCTT